GACGCAGAGACTACAAGAGAATGCAAGAAGGAATGTCCTCGGAGGATGAATTCTCGGACACTTATTCTGCAATCGCTTCTGATGATACAATGTCTAGCACAGGACAAATCAGAGAAGTATTCACAATCACTGCTGATCAGTTCACTCAAATACTTCAGGAAGCTCTAGCCAAACAACGTGAAGAAATTAGAGCTGAAGTGAAGACAGAAATGAAGTTGGCTATCCAACAAATGAGAGAACTGTTAACTCAACAGCCTCAACCTCCTGAGTCCAATCAGCGATTTGAATCCAGCCACCACACTCGGAATGTTGTAGATGACAGTGATCCAGAGGTGGATGAAGTCATTATGGCTGATACACCTCCCAATGGCAATAACGCTGGGGGTGGTTTAACGGATCCTCCCAATAACGATATTGGGGGTGGTTCAATTGCACCTCTCACTGGGGGTGGTCCAATTATCTTTACTCGACATAATTCAGAAAGAAATGAAGACGATGACGGGAAAATGCAAAAACTTGAAGACAAAATCAATGCTTTGATGACGGCTCAAGAAGTTAAGAAGACGGGTATTCCATGTCCTTATCCGAGGGAATGGGATTCAATACCATACCCGACCAAATTCAATCTGATTAACTTCACACCGTTTGAAGGGAAGAGTTCGCCGATTCAGCACTTGATTTATTTCAAGTCTCATTTAGGCATGATCTCCGGAAACGAGGCTTTAATGGTCCGGTCATTCGTTGGCACCCTTCGTGGGCCCGCCTTCGATTGGTACCGACGGCTCAAGCCAGGGAGCATCAATTGTTGGGATAACATGGAAAGTTTGTTCCTCAGCAATTTCTTTGATGATGACACCGAAGTGTCAATCAGAACCCTTCTAGATGAGAAGCAAAAAGATGGAGAGTCAGTTGACGATTTTGTCAAACGCTTCCGTGGCAAAACAATGAATTGCAGAGATCCTATCACGAAGGAGTTCATCCTGCAAACATGCCACAATAACCTCTCCATCGATGTCTTGGAAGCTCTGGGGGTCGTGCCATCCACAACTTGGAAGGAGTTAAAATCTCGGGGTGAACAAGCTGAGCACTTTCTTAAAAGAAAGAAAGCTGAGAGAGGCCAACCAATGACATCTGCAATCATTGAGAATGCGACTCTCGATCCGAGGTTTCAAAAGGAATATTCTTTCGAAGATGATGAAGCTCCAGCCATCTTGGAATACCTCCTCGCTAATGACAAAATCGAGCTACCACCTATTAAAGATCAGGAGGAAGCTATAATGATTACAGATCCAAATTACTGTGCGTACCACAGAAGGGTTCTTCATCCCACTGAGATTTGCTTTGGACTCAAAAATAAGATCCAAGCCCTAATTGACTCCGGCATCATAACGACGAAAGAAGTCGAGTAAAGACGACCATAAAACTCCATTGGGTACACGAGTATAAACTGTTTCCCCTCACTCCGAAAAGTATACGAGTATAAACTGCTCCTCGATACTCCAAAAGGTATATGAGTCTAAACTATTTCCTTTCCTTAACGGGAAGTTCCTGGAGAATCCTATATTCTTAAGGATAACCCGAACATATGACTGAGGTTAACGTACTCCTCGTTATACCCAGTTTTACAAAGAAAGCTGGGGGTCGATAATTCATGTAATGGGAAGTTCCTGGAAGAATGTTAAATATAATATTCTTAGGGATAACCCGATTATTATGGACAGAATGATAAATACTAAGCTCCTATTATGATTTTCGAACACTCTTTTGCTGAGATGAGATTCGATCACTTCGTTAGATCAATCTTCCCTCACAAAACCCATTTGGTCAAACCTTTAAACAGTTAGGACCGAAGCCAAAATCCCCTCTCGATTCGTTCCATGAACGAGAGGTCCACAAATTGAACGATCAAACCTTTAAACAGTTAGGATCGTCTCAAATTCCCATCTTGGTCAAACCTTCAAACAGTTAGGACCAAAGCCAAAATCTCCTCTCAGTTAGGATCATCTCAGAACTCCCACTTGGTCAAACCTTACTACAGTTAGGACCAAAACCAAAATCCCCTTTCGATTCCTTCCATGAACGAGAGGTCCAGCTTCGATTTGTGCAATCAAAACTATAAAAGTTAAGATTGCTTCCAATCTCAATTGATCAAACCTTATTCAGATTCTCTGAATAGAAATCCCAATTTAAATTTCCTTTGTACCAGGAGATAGAATATAAAATTCTTCCTCTCCGATATCGGGTTTATCTCTACCAACAAACAAGAGATCAGGAGATAGAATATAAAATTCTTCCTCTCCATCATCGGGTTTATCTCTACCAACAAACAAGAGACCAGGAGATAGAATATAAAATTCTTCCTCTCCGATTCTGGGTTCATCTCTACCAACAAAAAAGAGACCTGAATACTCCAATAGGTACACGAGTATAAACTGTTTTCCTACACTCAACAGGAAGTTTCTGGAGAATATTACTCAGAATATTCTTAAGAATAACCTACATACTCCAAATAGGTATAAGAGTCTAAACTGTTTCCCTATCCTCAACAGGAAGTTTCTAGAGAATATCAGTTAAAATATTCTTGAGAATAACCTGACTACCCCTAAACGGGTATATTCAGTGTCAACTTGACGACAAGAGCTGATTTCACAAGTACAAGTTCCAGCTTTAATTCAAGATCTCTACAATGGACAAGCGATAAACGCGATGCCGGGAAGAATCTTAACTATTCTACAAAGCACTGAATAGATTGAGAGACAAAGAGATCAAAAGTTGAAGCCACCTACGGGTTCCTCTACACGATCTACTCAACCAAGCATTGAAAGGATCGTAAGTAAGATCTATCTTATCCAAAGCATCCCAGAACTCCTCTATAAAAGATTGAGTCTGGAATACTTTGGAGGGGGTATCTGTAGGCGTCAAAAAATGCTGAAAGATATCCAAATACAGCTCAAGAGGAAATCATCCAAAAAGGCAGAAGAACACAAGTCTTGACTGTCTCGCCGTGCGAGACAGACTTGACTGTCTCGCCGCGCGAGACAGTCTTTACTGTCTCGCGGGCGAGACAGACTTTTACTGTCTCGCCCACGCGAGACAGTCTTTGCTGTCTCGCCGTGCGAGATCGCGGGCCGAGACAGCAAACACTGTCTCGCCCGTCGAGACAGCAAAAGCTGTCTCGCGAACCTGTTTTCTGCCAACTGTTCTTGGAGGTTATAAATACCCTCCTAAGGCCATTTTTCCAGGGGGCTGATCATTGTGAGTACTTCAGAGCAATCCAGAGCAATCCAGAGCAGAGAGAGAGCAGAGGTGCTGATCTTACGGCCAATCCTTGATAATCAGGCTTTGACTTGATTTCAAGAAGAACGACTATCTTACATCGATAAGATATCGTTTCAATTTCTCACTTCGATAAACGAAGTCAGAATCATAAACCCCTCACGGTTCAATCAGAATCTGTGATTTGGTGGTCCACGAGTCAAAGCGCTCCCGGCACAGGCAAAGATCCCACGAAAGCAGTGATCCAAACAACGATCCTGCGTTTATTTTCTCAAGAGTTGTAATTTTCTTTTTGTTGTGTAAAAGAGTCTTATAAAAAGGCTGTTTTCTTTGAATTTATTGTAATCGACCGAAGATATAATGAATTCGACAACAAATTCGACTTTTGGCGAAAACATAATCTCTCTCAATTCTCAAATACAATCTAATCTCTCTTGATTGATTTCTCCCTCTTTTTTAAAACCCTAAAACAATCTCTTATATAGGTGTAACAACGTGGATGATAAAATAGTAAATAACCAAGCCCAAACCCCACAGGAATTTGTGCAAACAGAAACCCAAACGAACCAGGAAACCGTCGATGAGTCGACTCATAAACATGCATGAGTCGACTCATGCCAAGTGAGCCGACTCATGATGAGGTGAGTCGACTCGTCAGAAACTTTCAACAAAACGGCTGGGTTTCGTGAGTCGACTCATGTACATGTATGAGTCGACTCACGGGCTGAAAACTGGATGCTTCGATTCTTTGATTTGTCGTCTCGTTCCACACTTCAACCTGAGTTCTACTGTGTTGTTTTACCCCTCTATTCTCAAGTTACCATGAGAATCATCTATCCTCAAGCTCCCATGATGATCGCTAAGTTCCAAAGAGAAGATATACCCGTATCATGGCTCTCCCTTTTAGGAATTTGAAGTCTCATTCAAGTTAGAACTTTAACTGAGAAAACTCACGAGCTCCTCCATCTTTCTTGAACCACCTGGCAATGCTAGGAATCTGACCTCGACGTCCAACCGGAAATGACTCCTTCGTCCCTTGCTTTGTCGTATTCATCTTTCGATCCAACATGCAACCCCCTTTCGATGGCTCTTCATGAAGTCTAATGCACAGCGAGATGAACTTCTTGCTTGCATTCACTAGCCTCTTCGCCCGCGTCACCGTCACCAAGTTTGTCTCTCTCGAAAGAGACACCGAACGAAATATGAACTCCTCACCATCTTTGGTGAACGTGTACTTCTGAGCCCTCCATTCGTAGATTGCGTATATATCTCATAAATACGGATTGCCCAGTATAACCTGACAAACATCTAATGGAACAACATCGCACGTGACTTCGTAAATATATGACTCGTGCAGCGCAAATTCGAAAGTGCATTAATCAACTACACTCAGTCCCGTCTCCTTCTGAATCCACCCTAATGGATAGGGTTTCGGATGTTTGACTGTCTTCAGTCCCAGCTTCTGAACCAAGGCCTCGGATATCAAATTCTTCTCACTGCCTGGATCAACTATGGTATCAACCAAACTGGTCTTCACTTGTAACTTCAGAATAAAGAGCTGCTCTCTGGGATCTTCGTCTTCTTTCGTGGTCTGCTTCCCCGCCATAAGATTGAGACTGTCGTTAGGCTCTGTCATCCCGGGAACTTCTTTCGTACCTTGTGCTATCACATATGCCTTTTTCTCCTCTTTCTTCTTCAACCCCCTTAGCTTGAGATGAGGATACTTCTCCCAGCATCGATCGGTGATACGTCCTGTCTTCTCGCAGTGACTACAAATCAGTTCTGCTTTTTCTGGATCACCCTTCTTCTCCTCCTTAGGTTTGGAACCACCAGACTCGCCTCCTGCTTGTTTTGCATCTCCCGTCATCTCGTTGCTCTTCTTCTGTTTGCCCTCGATGGTAATAGCCTTCATGCTCGCATCTGCAATCGTCTCAATCGTGAACAGGTTCATCTCCTTCCGGATGTAATCGCTCAAACCTACCATGTACTTCATAAAGATGGAATATTCCTTCGTCGCGATGTTAAGAATCATCGCCTGTTGCTGGAACTCCGGCGTATATTCTTGAACGGTCTGGTTGAACCTTTGGCACAATCATACCACTTACACTAACGCTCCTCAAGGAACCCTAATGGGTAGAACCGCTTCCTCAGTAAGAACTTGCGTGGCAAGTTTGAGAACTCTGAACGAGTTTAGAAGAACTCTGTAAAAGAGTTGATTTGAACCGAAGATCGGTTAATAAGCCAAGGCTAGAGGCTCCCTGTTGCTGCCAATTCTCAGATCTGAAAAATGCTAGCCTCTCCGATCAACCCAGCCCAAAAACGAAAACCGCCCCTGAACTGAATTGATCTTCAGTTATTTATAGAGGATTAAGGGGGTGAAACCGCCCCTTAAATCTCTCCTAAGTGGGGTGTAACAGCCCCCAAATCGTGGGAAACGGTTTTAGAACCGTTCAACTCATGTTGAATGAGTCAAACGCCCACGTTGGCGTTCAGGACCCTAACCTCACGTCTTATGATTGAGACGCGAGGTTGGGTGTTGACTGAACATCCAAAACGCGAGGGTCGCTCAAGTTTCGCTTGTTGTAACGCGGGTCCGACTCCAGCGTTTTGATGTTGTGACGCGGGGTTCGACCCTGGTGTTTTGATGTTGTGACGCGGGGTTTGATCCTGGCGTTTTGATGTTGTAACGCGGGTTTCGACCCTGGCGTTTTGATGTTGTGACGCGGGGTTCGACC